GCTTGTTCTTTAGGACAGACATATCATAAACATTTTTGGATTTTAACAAAATCTGAATTTGGAATTTTATTATCTTTAGTTGTTAAATCTAAATCAAAAGGAGATATTATGGTGTTTAAAAGTAAGATACAATGGTCCATTGCTTATTCTTTACCAAGGTGTATTTTCTCATTGTGTACCTGTTTTTTATTAAGTAGGGAACTTCCTTTACCCTCCCCTTGATTATGTATGAAATACACTCTTTGTAGGTAAGTTAGAAATATAGGAAAAATGTCAAAATACCCACCACTCAAAGATAGGCACTGATAACATTTTGGTATTTCTTTATAGCCTTTTTAATANATATATATATATACTCTTTTTTCTGTGTATGTATATACACTTATAAATATCTAAGCAAAATTGGCATATAGTACACATATTACTTTATATCCTATATATTTTCAATTAACATGTGGTACTATTTCTTCTATATATATAGTATAGCATTTTCTCATGTATATTTTTGAAGGAATTATAATGGCTGCATAATATTCCATCATTGATATACCACTGTTTTTTTTTTTAATTTTCTTATATACAGTATTATATTGGTTTCAGGTATACAAGATAGTGATTCAGCTGTTATCTACATTATTAAATGCTCACCGCAACTAGTGTACTTACTCTCTGTCAGGATAGGAAGACATTGCAGAACTATTGATTATAATCTCCATGCTGAAGTTTTCATCCTTGTGGCTAATTTATATCATGATTGAGATTCTGTGCCTCTCTCCCCTTCACCTGTTTTGTCCCCAACCCCACTCCTCAACCACACCCCATGGTAACCACCAGTCACTACTCAGTGTCTCTGAGTCTACTTCTATTTGTTTGTTTTGTTTTTAGATCATATAACTGAAGTCCTGTATACACCACAGTTTTAAATGTGTTTCTTAATTTTGGGCTTGGTTTTCAAGTTTTAATTATTATAATAAAAGGTTAATAAGCTGGATTTAGTGACTCTTTGACCAAATCTCGTTATTTTCTTAAGACCAAGTTCTTGAAGGAGAGTCCAGTGCAAGGAAAAGGATATGAACATTTTCCACACTACAGTGGCTTGATGTGAATGCCAGATTGCACTGTGGAAAGGCATTATTTGTTTACACTTCGCTAGCAGTCGACGCAAATTCCAATGGCGTCCTGCCTCAGCATTAAATAAGATTGAAAAAGTCTTTTTTGTTATTGTTGTTGCTGTTAATCTGGCAGATGGAAAAATCACCGAATTTTTAAAAAATGTGTCTTTATTAATGAGGTTGAATGGTTTTTCAAAAATGCATTGGCCCTTTTTGTTCCTCTCATGGTCTTTAAAAAATATTTAGAATCCTTTTCTTATTTCTACTTGTAAATGTTCTTTACCAAGAACAGTTATCCTTCATCCTCCAAAATACGTTACAAATATATTCTTCTGTTAGGTGGTTTGATGTTTTGAGATGTACAAAACATACAATTTGTATGTTTTCTCAAATTCTTCAATATTTTCCTCTGTAACTTCTTTAAGACTTTTTTTTCCAGGCTTAGAAAATGTTTCTGTATTCCAAATTAGATAGTCTGAACATATTCTTATAGTTTTAAGTTTTTCAGTAAAAACTTTACAACTATCTGCTTAGTGCTGCTTTGTACTTTCTACCTCCTAAAATGTATTTCACTTTATGTATTTAGTTTTTATTAAGGTATCATTGATATACACTCTGTGAAGGTTTCACATGACAATGTGGTTACTACATTCACCCATATTATCGAGTCCCCCCATACCCCATTGCAGTCACTGTCCATCAGTATACTAAGATGCCACAGAGTCACTACTTGTCTTCTCTGTGCTGCACTGTCTTCCCCATTGCTTTATATTTTAAATATCTGATAGTTCAAATTACTTCGTTCTTAAAAATATCTTCCTAATTTTTTGTGGGTAAAATTTAGAACCATCTTTCCAATTTCCTTAAAAACAGTCCTGTTAGTACTTTAGTTATGAATATATTAGCCTATGCGTGAACTCGAGAAGCACTGACATCTTACAGTATTCAGATTTTTTAAATGAATGACTTGATTGTGACCTAAAGTGCAGTCAAAATCTAAATGAATGTTCCTCAAATGTGAGGACTTCTTGTCCCCAAAAGATGCTGACAGAATCCAGTATGAGACCTGGTCAAGTTAGATGATTCAGTGTGTGTTGGGAGTGGGGCGTATGGGAGAGGGTGGAGGATCTACTTTTGAGATGTTTTAATCTTAGTGATTTTATTCAACAAGTATTTATCGATGGTCTACCATGTGCCATGCTTATGCCGGACTGGCCTTGAAAACGTGAAGAAGGCGTGGCCCTTGTTCTAAGACTTGGTCAGCATGGACGCGTGTACACACAAAATGATAACAAAAAGTGGGGAGGAGATGGAAGAGGACAAGGGCAGGCAGGAGAGGTGTATGCCGAAGTCTTAAATGGATGTTGCTGGGTAAGACAGGCTGGAAGAATCTTCCATGAGCCAAAAATGTGTGCGCTGAAAAGTGAAATAGTGCAGTTTTAAAGCAGGGAGTCCAAAATGCTTGAAGCTAAGGTGAAAGAGGAGCGGGATGGGGAGGCCCAGGCTGTGGAGGGCATTGGAGCTAGCGGTCCTCCAGCACTGAGCTGCTCAGTCCCTTGGGAGGAAGACCAGCTGTTTTTATGTGCTTCTTTCTTCCCCCAGACTTTGTTGCAGATGGATACTTTGTAAAATGCAATAAAACTCAATAACTAGCAATATGAAAAAAACAACCCTCAATTTTTAAAATTAAGATTTAAGAGACATAAAACGACTGTCAATTTGCTATACAGGTTTTAAAATGTTCACTCTCTGTTGGTGTGTCTGTCTCTTGTGGATAGTGACAACTAGGTCTTGAACCCCTCTGTGGACCACACTGGCATCCCAGATCAGTGGGAAAGACGTGTCTAGGGGCTGGGAATTATACCACAGATTCTAAACACAGGTCAGGGTATGCTGTGGACTGTGCTTGCTCAGAAACTGAGAACCATATTGTAAGTGATACTGAATCACCAGAGGGAAGTTACTAAATGCTGTACTCATATCTTTACAACTATATTTTTTGAGGCTGGTTAAATCACTATATTTTAAAAGAAAACTCTCCTTCTCAAAATTAGGGTATAAAATGAAGTATCTTAACATGGGTAATTTTCTCAGCCTAGATAATTTTTTCAGCAATGGTTCTCAACCTTGGGTTCTCAACGCTGTGACTCTGAAAAATGATGCTGATGCTGGGTGCCACCCATTCGGGTTAGTTTGGGATGCCACCTCAGTGTGAGGATTCCTAAAAGCTTCATATTGATTCTCATGTGTGGCCAACTTTCTCCCATAGGAGCTATGCTGATGATTCATAATGTTTTCTGATGGAGAACTCAAGTCAAAGACCAGAGGACAGCTATTGAACTCTAAAACTATCAGTTGAATTTGAATCTGATGCTGAAAGATAGTGATTGTTTTAAAGGGCAATAATCTTGTGTATACTCGATGCTCTGAGTTTTCTTCTGACCCGCCCTGCCGAGTAACATTATTTTAATTACAATTGATGGTATACACATCTTTCAATAGGACTTCTTTAGAATCTAGGATATGTAATCTAGCATTGATAAATATCTTTGTAAATTAAAGCTTGTGAGATCATAAGTTTTCTGTTGTCTGTTGCACCTGCTACTATCTTGGTTGCTCTTGTTGGAGCAGTGATGGCACCAGGGAGGGCTGTTGTATTACATTAATCTCCAAATAAGATTAGATTAGAATAACCTGCCATGAACATGAACTTGCCTATTTACCTCTAGTGCACCTATTGCTGAATTTTTAACATAATGTCCTGAAATTATTTATGCGACTTTATTAGAGTATTAAAATCTCAGGTCTTGGTCTATAATAGAGCACACTCCTTGATATTTTTGAAGTCTCCAAGCAGCATACAAAACTATCAGTAGAGAAATGCTTCATATGGTGAACTTTTTAGTTTGTTTACAGTCCCAAAAGCTAGCTGTGATCTGCAAAGATAAGATTGCTTTTTTCCTGTTTTCCTGGTGTGTTCTTCATGTGCTGAAGGCTCTAACATTCAGTTGTCACTCATTTCAGCGAACAGCTTTCGGGCACCTACTTGTGCTAGATTTTAGAGATACAAAGTTTTAACCTCAAGTCCTTCCACTAAGGGATGACATAGAGGCATGCTACCAGCCTCTACACAGATGGAACAATTTTTATGTGCAAAATTCAAATAATTTTACACAACCCCTGCCATCATTTCCAGTAGGCTTTGGTTTTGGATGCATCAGCCTTACTTGCTTAGACCTCTCTTTCTTTCTGTTTCTCTCTTTCCCTCCTTGCTTTTCAGAAGGTTGTGATGTTAGTGGTGCTACTGTAAAAGTAGATCTACCAACTATTTTGGGGGCCATGGCCAATCATTTATTCCTTTTGAGTCTAAGTTTCCTGTGCTGTAAAAAACTGATACCATCTCCACCCTGTCCACACGAATTGTGAAGATAAGTTACATCCTTTCAAATAGTTAAAGTGTAAATGGACAATATATAAAGCAATTTTTAAAATAAAACTAAAAAGAAAAAAAGAAACCTTAAACAAATATGTGGTACATGTACCACCTCAAAACACTTTGGGTTTCTGGAACCCAAACGTGAAGACACCCCAAACTTAAACTCCATGGAAGCGTGCCTCCATGATGGATTTTTTTTTACTTTTTACTTAGCTCCTGAAAAAAGAAACTTCCTGGGTTTTTCTCTTTTCCTCCTACGGTTTTGCAGTGGCCAGGCTGCTTCCTGTCCGGAGCAGCTCTGCCACGGCCCCTCGGTCCGGACCCTCCACCTCCTCTTTTTCTTTCAAGCCCCTAATACACACAAAGTCTGATCTTGTACAGAAGAGATCCCTGACATTTGCAGAGCTCCAGGGAGGCAGTGAGCATGCTCGGCGCTCCTCCCGCCGCGAAGAGGAAGCTCGTTTCCGTCCGAGTCGCAGAGCGGGGCCAGCATGTCAGCGCGGCCAGCTTGCAGCGGGCGGTGAGCGCGGCGAGCGGGGCTTTGTCCTGGGAGATGTGCCGCCCGGGTTTCTGCTCTGCGTCCGAGGAAGGCTCGTAAAGGCTTCTGAAACGGTTTTTAAATGCTCCATTGAGGATACAAAACGTACACCGCCTACAAAGAAACCCGTGAAGGGTTTTGTGCCAGTTTGATTTTTTATGCGTATCCCCCCCCCACCCCCCCACCTTTTTTAAACTTTTACATTTTGATCCTCCGAGGCCGGGCCTCCGTCTTTGTGAAGTTTTAAGAGAAGAGCCAGGAGCTGCTCAGCAATAATTGCTTTTTGAAACGTACTGTTTTGGGCGAAAGCAAAGAGCTGGTTTTCTGTGCTAGCCCAATAAATGCTATTTATGAAGATGGACCTGTTGAACTACCAGTATTTGGACAAGATGAACAACAATATCGGCATTCTGTGCTACGAAGGTAGAGGTTCCGTTCTAGAAATGGCTTGTCTTGCTTTTGTCAAGGCCTCTCCTCGAGGGCGCCGAACGCTTTCTCTCGTTTTGTTCTCTTTCTTGGGATTTTAAGGTGCTTTGGAAGGGGAGCGGTTATTCAGGACTGTTTTCAATACAAAGTTTGTATCTTTGCCTTCAAGGTTGGGGGGCGGGGAGGCGGCGGAATATAAACTGAAAAGTTAGCTGTACGCTTGCAACATACTAACTCTTCAATTTTTAACTCTTTAAAATGTGTTTCTTTCTGATATCTACTGATGTTCGGTTTAGAGGAAGAATTTACAGGACCCAAGTAAAAGTTAACCGTGTGGAGCTTCCCCCCGCCCCCCCCACCCGGGATACTTATTTTAAGCATTCACCATCTACAGTATTCCTGTTGTATTCCAATAGCATTTTGGATTTTCGTGTAGAGGAGAACAGAAAGTCACAGTTGAGTTTTTGTTTTAGGGAGTGATTGTTTCAAACAGTGAAGGATTTTTCTGTTCACTTTGGGGGCTGGAAGGGCACCCGTGTCGCAGAGCACAGACTGGCTCTTTGTCTGATCCCCATTTCCTGTACAGCTCTGAGAGCACTCTGACACTGAAGGATGTTCCCTCCACACTCCAGTCCCTTGTGGCAGTGATTGCACAACATGCCAGCCAGAAAGCTAAATTAAAAGGGGCGGGGGAAGGGCACTCCGTTCTTAGTGTTGATTACCTTCTACTAAACCCTGAGGTGTTTCCCCACTGCGTTGGAGTATTTCAAGATGTCTCTGTTAGTAAGAAGAGAAAACGCCACTTAGTCTGTTGGAACATTATCTACGTGCGATTTGAAAAAGTGGTAATGGCCTAGGTTTGAGTGGCCGGAGAGGCATCTCCGGGGGAATTCAGCTTGGCAGGGGGACTGTTTTTAGTTGTAACCATATACAAATCCGGGAGACCTCTCCTTTCTGATTCAGTAGGAGCAGTTTCCATGTTTTCTCCTACAGTGAACTGAACATTTCTCTTGAAAAAGAAGCCACAGGAGAAATTTGGGAGGGTGAGCCAACCCGCTGGTATTTTTCACATAAAGATTTCAGGCCTGTTGCCTAATCAGTTGAAAACTTACCCTTTCCCCTTCAAGGAAAAAAAAAAAATCCCATTCATATTGTTTTTTTATTTATCTCTATGGATAAGGATCTCTCACTTAAGGTTTAAAAAGGTAGGTTTTTGTTTTTGTTTTTTTACTACTACTACTTGTCCTACTCATGAGAATTTTGGTGAATTGCTTTTTTTTGAATCTGCTGCTTTAAGTTATCTTGCTTTTGATGAAGCTCATTGAAAAGGCAGACTTCTTCGGAGTGGTCTAAGCAGCAGGTGACTGGCCTTGTTTCCTGTGAAATTAACGTTGCCCTTTGTTAAAACTTTTTTTCCCCAGGGTACAAGAAATTTAAGACTTTTAAGATATTTGTATTGCCCTGTATTTGTCCTTGAGTAATATATTTTCAAACCACAAAACAGTGATCAGCCTTAGAGAGGAATAATAGGGATTGCTAGGAAATTGATACCACATTAATTTTTTGTCTCCAGTTGGTGGTAGTGAAGAAAAGCTTATGGAAAGCTTGTCCAGGTTGATTTGTTTTTGTGTAGTCTGTGACATCCACGAGAGGAGCCTTCTAGCTTCCCTCATTTGGGATGAAGAAACTTTGATTTTGAAAGTTGAGTAGATATGTGGGGTTATTTGCCATAAACATCTATTTTTCCTTATTATGAGAGTTTACATTATTTTAACACCAAAATAAATACACAGGAAATGAAGAAAAAAGCACAAAAAAGCACAGCAAAATTGGAGTGGTGTTTATAGTGGGTTGTTTATGTCCTAGTGGTTTTCTTAGTGTAAACACTCCACACATCTGCTCTCAACTCAAAAGGGTGTTTTGAAGATGGGCATAAATCTTAGATGGAAATTTCTTTGTAAGAAAATTTGAAACACCCTTCTTTTAAGTTCCGACACTTTGAGACTATGCGTATTAAACATAGCTGCTCACCAGCATTCCAGGGAAGCTATTTAGAAAATGGAATGTACAGTTGGTAGGCAGCATTTGATTTCACTTAGGGCACAGGCAGATTCATAAGGGACTCAGGAATAAGGGGCAGATTAATTTTCAGAATTCTTAGTTTTAAAAACTAAGATGTTCGTGTTGGTTATTCTTCTAAGCTAGTTATACTATTTTCCTGAGTTGTGTTAGCTCTACTCTGCAAAATAAATCAGGTGTCTGCATCATCTTTCTTTAATCTCTCTAGCAATTTACACACCCACAGGTCCTTTTCAGCCAGTTACCTTGTAGCATACAAGGTGTTCCTGAAATCCCACATTTAGGGTGGACCCAGTGGCTTCCATATGGACTCTGCTTGGTGACTTTCACCACAGTAGCCTGTAAGTGTAACTGAAGAGACAAGAAAGGAAAGAATTTAACCACAAGTAGTAGGTTTGGGGTGGGACACATTGGGGTGGGAAGAGATTGGCAAAGGGCAGGAAAAATCTAAGTTTGGCTTAGAAACTAATTATACATACCTTCATTGGTGATGTGAAAGTTAGCAGAACTCTGCTTGTGTTAATGTGTCTCTTCACAAAGATCCTGGTTATTACTACAGTCTGCAACAGTTAACCAGTCCGTCATTCCTCACCTTACTGACTATTCAAATTATACTCAGTTGAATCCTGGTTTTGCCTCTATCTCCATGAAAAGGTCATAGTCCAACCCCAGCCTTCACTTTTATCCTGTGAACTCCTGAGACTGTTTCACAAAGGGACTGAAACTTCATGAAGCAGGGCACTCCTTCATCACCGTGTCCTGGGACAGTGCCTGAGTTGGCTCTCAGAAGTGGCTGACTCCACAAACCTAAGAGAGCTCTTCAATGGCTGTTGTAGTCACACTGTATTAATTTAGCACTTAATTACATATACTATTGTGTATTCTCTAATTATTGTAGGACTCTTCGGGGCCTTAGATATATCTGATCCATTTGCCTTGTTTTGCCAGGGAAACTGAGACCCGGGAGAGGTAAATTGTCCTTTGAAGTTTATTCGAAAGTTTGTAGCAAAATTGAATTTCGTGACAAGCTGGTGGCTTTGAGTAGTCTGATTTCTCTGTACCATTCTGCCTCTCCAGAATCACTTTGTCTCGACTCCTTAATTAATCATTAGTTCCTAGTGGCCCCGCACAGCCCCAGCCCCCAGCAAGGGGATGGCACTTTGGATGCGGTGCAGCTCCTGTGTCCTGGATTCTTCATTGCCCTGAAGCCAGTTATCCGTGTAGGCTCCCCGGGGGTCCGGGAAAGATGGCTGTGAGAGAACTCCGGGTGACCAGCCCCGCTGGAATTTGCCCTCCTTGCAGCTCTGGCACTTGGCTTGGCTTGGCCTTTTTTTCTGGTTGTGCAGAGGAGGCGGCCCTGTGGCCCTGTGCAATGCCAGTTCGCTAAGCGTGTTTAAACCCCCAGGGGAGCTGGGAACTTTTCTTAAGATGGCCGACGGTTATATTAACATAATTACTTGGTGCTGAAAACTTAGGTCCTAATAAATGTGCTCATGGTTGGCTGTGGCTTTAAGCTGCTATTAGTGATACTTTAATTATGGGTTAAGAGCCATTAGTGTGTAATTTGGTAGGAGAATTCTCCCCTTCTAATTTAGTAGTGTGATTTATATTGGGAGAAAGTAACAGTAAACTGCATATTGTGAGCCTCTGAGGGCCTTAAGAGTGTTCCAAGTTCCCCAAATTTTAGAGCTGGCCTTTGTTTTAGAACATAATTACCACTTGTTTCATCACAAAATACGCTTAATTTTCAGGAATTGAAAGGAAAATTCCCACAAGAGTGGAGCTGAGTGAGACTTTTCTAGGGAAATGGGCGAGGATGGGTGGCGGATTTCTTTTGTTTCCGGCTGTCTGCCCTCCAGCAGTTTAAGAGTTCTTTGTCTGTCTGCTCAGAGCCATCAGGAAACTTAGGAGCCTCGGGTGCTATGAAGGTGAGCAGGCCACAGAGCAGAGCCGTTTTGCACCAGCCCGTTCCGCCACCCTGCTTATCAAGTGACCAGCTCTTGATCCAGGGGTGTATTGCGAGGTGGAACATCTGTAGTTGTTTTGCTGTCCAAATTTATTTCACTTTAGCTCTTTATCTGTAGGAGGCGGAGGGAGGGAGAGAGAGGCGGGGAGGAGCACCAGTCATAAAACATGCCCAGGTGAGCCCAAGAGAGCTCAGGAGATCTGGCCAGTTTGTATTTCTCTAATTACAGTTCGTGAAGGGAAGGTGTGATCACATCCTCCTGCCTTGCAGCTTCCCACCCTTGTTTCTCTACCCTCTGCTGGAAGGATTGTTTTACTTGGCTGTTTATTCCTTGGAGCCCACACATGGCTTTGTTTTGGGAGGCAGATTTCTCTTCCTTCCTCCTTCCCTTCCCTGTTGTCTGCAAGGCCTTCTAGGCCTAGGGTGTTTGGATTTGTTGCTGTGAAGAAAAGTTTTTCAAAATATGCCAGAAGGTACCCCAAACCCCCTAGACTCTTCAGCATGTGAGAAGATTGGTTCCCCTCAGGTGTGAGGATGTTGCAGAAAACTGGGTTTTGACTTGAAGAAATTAGATTCAGACTAAGCACTTCTCCATGTACACAAACATCTAAAACCAGTCTTACTAGGAAGTTTCTGACTGTTTTAGATCCGTATATCTTAACATTTATTCAATGACTTTATATTTAATCTCTGTACTGTTTGAGTCCATTGGAACTGCCCTCTTACTTTGCTCAGCATTAGTTCTATAAAATAATCCCTCTATTTTATTTTTTAATGAACTATGTCAACACCCCCAAGCCCCCAAATAACCTTCAACCATGGACTTAACCTTCAACTTAATTTTAAAAGTAGGATCTGATAATTGTATTACTTTCTCTATTTCCCCTCCCCCTCTCCCCTTCTCTCTCTCTCTCTCTCTCTCTCTGCCTCTCTGAATGTCACATGTTCTGCCAAGTTCCAAAGAATTATTTCCATCAGTTTGCTTTGTTACCTTGCTGCCTTTTCTGCATTTTTTTAAAAGAATACTATAGATTGTTTTAATTTCAGGGTATTGTGTACAGGATATGCTTTAATCTGTTGTGAATCGCTGCTAATTGAAAGACTTTATTTACCTTAAATAAAATAGAAATCTGTTCTTAAAGTTAATTTGGCTTCTCTTTATAAGATCTTTCTGAACTCTTAAACATTTCACCTGCTTATTTGTAAGGAAGTCTGTAAACATAAACAAACAGATACATTCAGTAAGTGATCGGAGAAAACCCAGCACTGGCCTTTTGTCACCCAATACCCATTCTCTTAAACATGGATGGAATGCCTGTACTCCACTAAGGAATGTTATAGTACTCAGGGTTAGTCTGCCTCTGTCTGACTCAACATTTTTTATTATGAAAATACACTATATATACATAAAACATATGTGAAGTTTAAAAATGAGCAACCTTTCAGTCAACAGCAGATTAAGAAATAGTAAACCACTTTCTCCAAGCATTCTCTCCTTGATCAAAATCTGTAACTTGCTTTTCTTTACACCTTTACTACTTATGTGTATAATTCTAAACAAACAGATTTGTCTGTTTTCTTTTGAGCCCTGTATAGTTGTAATTTTCCTCTTTATCTTCTTCTTGTCTCTTGCTTATGAGATATTTTAAGGTACTGGAGATGTCCTACAGGGTTGCCTTTTCCATACGAAGCCAGGTTATCTTGGTTGTGGAATATATGTGGACATCCCAGCCTTCCTTCTCATCCACCTGTTGTTGTGTTAAAAAAATTCTGTACAGTTTTGGAGAGTTGCAAAGGGGGGCACTTGTAGAGATACATAGCTTAATCAGGATCTGAACAGTGACTTGAGTTCTTTATTAATAAGCAGTTTGCTTAAAGGCTGAGACTTGTTACAAGTCAGCTTTGTTGCAGTGCCAGGTTTCTTTGGATGTTAATCCAGGGACTTTTAGATACACAGAAAAAGCTTAAATTGTTCCAGTATGCAAACAATACTCTATATTGTATAGAGATGGCTGTTAAAGGGCAAAAAGATCTGAAACAATAGTCTGCATTATGCACCTTCTAAAATTATGAATGAAAAAGAATCATCCATATGTATTGCTCTTGATTTTTATTTTATATCTGTTTTGCATGAAAATAGTTGCCTGTTAATTCTTCTTGGCTAATGATTTGGTTTTAATAGAGTGAATTGCAGAATTTAATGGTTTGTTGCAGATGCACTCTGCCAAGCCATTTAGCAAAGCTGTTTACACCACCCCAAATCCAGCTGGACAGAGTCTATGCTTCTTCCCTGATAACAGATGAGGGAGTGATGAGTGCACATTTCTGGATATTTTCCCCCCTTTGAAAACAAACACATCTTCCATTATGTGGCAGCACTGTTCAAGTGACAAGGAATTAATTTTACTTTTTATTTTGATGTCAGCAGCCTTTTCCTATACCCATTTTCTCCCAGTCTTACTCAGAGTGTCCTTTTAAACATTTGTTTTTTGGGTGAGCAACTGATAAACTATTGGCTGACCCCACAGAGAACCCTTGCTTTATTTCCCTGCGGAAAAGCTGTGACCTGTTTGCCAATGCTTAACATCACCTGGGAGAGAGATTTGGGTGGGTTTCTTAAAGAAATATGTAATAGCTGCTGTACCAGGCATTAAGTGCTAGTGAGTAGAGGGGCAAGAAGGATGGAAAATAGTAGTCATTCTCAATATGAAACCTAAGCAGTTCTCCACCTCTGTTCTGCTGAATTCAGAATTGGGAACAATCACGATCAGTTTCTGGAGCCCCTGATGGGAGGAGCTCTTTTTCTGTCAGAGGCTTGACACTGATAAGACTCGCGGATACCGGCAGGGGGCGAGGGGGAGTGACCCGTGGTTCCAGAATTAACAGCAAACATTGCTTTTGGTGTCCAGTAACAAGTACAGTATCACACACACAGAGTGTATTTGGTTCTGTATTTTGTCCAACACACAGAAAGAACAGGAGAGGAAGAATCCTTGTGCATCATTTAAGGACAGGATAGAAGAACCCACCACACCTTCCTGCTTTTCCCCTTGCAGATTTTTCGGAATCCAACCATCCTTCTTTCCTTTGCCTTAGGCTCAGGGACCCTTCTGGCCTCAGGGATTGACCAGTGGTCTGTTTCTTTTCTGATTTCCCCTTCTTCCTCTCTTGGTTCTTTCTTATCATCATGTGCTCATGCAAAAGACTTTCCCAACTTTAAAACCAAACTATCCTATCCCTAAATCTCATGTTCTCCTCCAGCTGTTAGGGACTCTTCATTGCATTCACATTTTCGGAAGAAGGTAGTCAATTTATCACTCCTTCTTTTTGTCCATGGTCTCCTCAACCCACTGTCATCTGATTTTTGCTCCCATAACATCACTGAAATGGTTCTGGACAAGTCACTAAATGATATCCTAGTGGCGGGTTCAGTGGACACTCTTTAGTCCTTACCTTAGTTGAATCTCTTTGTGGCATTCCAGGTTCTTAAAATTCTTAGCATCCCTTGGCTCAAGTATTTATCAAGTGCCCACTCCAGTGGGAACAAAGGATGCTGGTGAGCGAGTGGGGAGCAGCGTGGCCAGGGCTTTGTGGAGTCCTTTTCTAGTGGTGGGAGGAACGCATAAAAGATTGAGGCAGGCTGTTAAACATTTTCAAAACAAACTATGGCTGCAGCTTGAGAGCAGACTGTATGAGAAGGAGGAGAGAGGACACAGAGACAGGAGACAGTGTGAACCCATTGCAGTGGTTCGGGCAAGAGGTGGTTGTGACCCAGAGGACGGT